ACCTTAAATTAAAATAGTTTTTAATTGTGTACCAGTTCAACGTTGAATATTATTTATGATTTTAACTTTATACACAAGTGCCAAAATACTATAATTAACAGCTAAACCTTTAGACAAAAAACTGCAATTCAAATTTAACACAATTCTGTACCTTCTATAAAAATGTAGACTGTGGAAATAATAATTACCATGCAACCTTATGATAATATAAAAATAATTTGTTATTCCCTTCTTTTTTAAAGTTTAGGTTTGTATTCAATTTAGTGCAAAGCTGCATGAGAAATGTCTGCACTAGCTGACCCTAACTTAGTAGTAATAATGTCAGGAAAGCATTTAGGTTCAAGGAGTTTCAATATAAAATTATAAAAGCTCTCTAACTTAACTCAGCAGTGGTTCTCAACCTATGGGTAATTATCCCACTTAGGGTAATTTTGCATTTTCCAAGGGGTAATGGATATTGGTTTTTCTTTTTTTTTCTTTACTAATCCACCCTCATAGAGGGGGTATAAACAAACATACATACTCATGACCATGTGGAAACAAATTTGGATAGTTATAAAAAAAAAGAGAGTTAAGGTTGATTACTTAAATTAAATACACAGAAAATTAGTAATAACAAACAAACAAAAAATGTTGCTAAAATTAAATAAAAATAAAATGTTCTAAACTGATAAACATGAAAAATCAAACAAAATTATCATACCAAATCACAACATAGGATGTAACCCTGAACACCTTTACTTACCAAATGCCCAGAGTTGCATTAAATATTATAAAAATCTGACAATAAAAATATAAAAAAATTAAAATAAATTTTAGCTCTAACATTGGTGGTCAAAGATTTTCCTATTATGTTAAAAAAGCTAAATAGCATTTTCATGTTAAGTAAATCTTTGCTAATTAGCTTTAGCCTCCCTGTGTAACAAGTCCCAATCTTTGAACATATGTGCTGAGGTGACGATGTGTACTCTTTTTCCCGAAGGATGAATGCCAAGTCCAGTCACTGCATTTTTGAAGAGTGCAGTGAAGATTATTAGCATTTGTGAAAGATTGTAATTTTTTAGATCAGACTTTTTCTTCCCCCAGGTCAATATGGCACTGAGGAAATAAGCATAAGCATACTGTGAAAAAACTTTTCATCTGTTCTAGTATGTTCAGTTTGGAACATATGAAGCCTAGTAAATTGAAAAAGCATTTTGAGCAACTTCATGGTGAATTCAAAGATAAAGGCATTGACTTTTTAAAACATAAAACAAAGTCTCTGAAGGTAGGAAAAGTAGATTCGACAGGTCATTTTGACAAATGAATTTCAGTGTATTTGAAACATCATACCGAGTTGCTCTTCACATTGCTCATTGCAAAAGGCCACACATGGTTGGGGAAAAGTTCATCAAGCCATGCATGCTGGATTTTGTAAAGCTAGTTTTTGGTGAATCTCAAGCTAAGAAATTAGAACAGGTCTCATTTTCTGAGCATACAATGAAATGTCAAATTGATGAAATGAGTGAGGATATCCTGGAACAAGTGATTATAAAGATGAAAGAAAGCTGATGTTTTATAATACAGCTCAATGAGTCCACTGATGTGGGATCATATTTGCAAATTGTTGTCTTCACTCTATATGTGATGAAAGGCTGCTTGAAGGACGAATTTATTTTCTCATAACCTTTCTTGGAGAGAATGTATTGAACACAGTTCACAGTTTTTTACCAAGAACTTAGTTTGCAATTGGCAAATGTATTTGGAGTGTGTACTGGAAGAACATATTCAGTGCTAGATGTTCATTCAGGGTTTGAAGACCATGTCAAGCAAATTACATCACACATCGCATTCAAGCTTTGTGTTATCCATCTGTGTTATCATTATCACTGTTTTTACACGAAGCCTTTTATTGCTTTTTATTTTGTATTTTTTATGAAGCCTTATGTTGACACAGTTGAATGTAATAAAAAACAAGTTTTGACTGTGAAGTATTGTTTTTCTCCACTTTTGAAACTTTTAACTCCCCTTCAACTTTGGAAGAATCCCCTACAAATGTAATCCTGAAGCTTACTGAATACTCTGAAGTTAGGTATATTTTTCAAAATTTGGACCTTTACAGTTGGGGATAATGATTCATTTACCTAATGGCTAGAGGGATACTTGGGATGGAAGAGGATGAGAACCACTGGAATAGAGGGAAGGCAACTAGTCAACACCACCCATTGCCAACTCTTGGGCTATTTTTTTTACCAATGATCAGTAGGATTGACCATCACATTATAACACTCCCCACAGCTGAAAGAACAAGCATGTTTAGTGACAAAGACTGGAAACCATGACCCTCAGATTTCAAGTTAAGCGCCTTAACCACCAGGCCATGCCAGGACATTAAAGTTTAGAAAAAATCTTTCACTTTACTTCTTCATATACTGGTAAATTCTGTTAAAAAAATTGATTTTCCAAAAAAAATGTATTAGATCTGAACATATCAGTTCAAATATTTTACCAGGTGTAGTAAATGTTAGCAAAATGATTTTTGGATAGTTTATACTTGTTGTTGATATTCTAACACACCATCTGTGATGCAAGAGAGAAATTAATAGTTTGTATTAATCCCTGTGAATATAATTTTGTTTTTATGGAAATATTTAAATATTTTGTTTCGACATTTATCAACGGATGACAAATGCAAAACAAATATTATATACATTATATTTTTCAGACCAATATTATAAAAAAACCTTTTTATATTGTAAAGATAATATAAAAAAAAGTTTTAGTTTCCCAATTTGGTTGTAATCAGGCATAAAATAAAAGCTTTACAGTTTAACCATTTCCTGACAAGAGTGGTGTCACTAATATTCCTTGATGTTTGCATTCACATAGAGGAAATAATTAAGTGCATGAAACTTAGCACAAACTTATTAAATATTTGGCTTTAAAAAATCCATGTAATTTGATTTAATACTACTTTAATACTTTTTTTTTCAGGTTGTAAAATTTCCAAAATTTTATTGTGATACGCTGCTTTGAAAAAACATTAAAAATATTTACTTTCTTCTTAGAATTTAAATTTTTTTTCAATGTTGATCAGAAAATTCCATTTTATATATTTAGTCAATTTAAACTTCACCGATATTCATTAAAATAATTATTTTCATACTTTATTGTGCTGATTCAAGTAGTAAACTCTTCTGACTATAAATCCTAAATAATTCCGCATAATTACTCTATCAGTTTGTCTAGCCACAAATATAATTGCTGGTCACCTACTCAGAAACAGAGCAGTCATATCTAATTCATCCACCATCCTAATTATCTCCCTTGCTCAAATTGCTCTTCTTTCACTAGAAATAGCAGTGGCATTAATTCAAGCCTACGTATTCGTAGTCTTATCAACACTATACTCCACTTTGATTTTTGCTAACAATAAATTTGGTCAAGATCAATTTTAATCTAATATATAGTTTATTCTGAATAAACATAATTTATTTCATATATGTGCATTGTTTCAATACAATAAACTTTACAACATTACTCAAGATATTAGGATTTGAGTTATCTGAAACTACTGTTGTATATTCAAAAATCTAATTAAGCTTATCTGCTGTCTTATTAATGGCAAACGTTTCTGTAACTTTCAAACAGATGCACATTAAAAGAAAACATTATCAGAAACACAAAGAGCATCTAAAGCAACCATTAAATAATTATCATTTCTCAGATAGAACTAACAGAGAAGAAATATCATGTGAGAAACAAGACAGTGACAATAATATTCTCAAGGGATGGTACCCAGTAGATAAAGTGAGGTAACTCAAGAAACTATAAAATTAACCTTCACACTATGGGCTCTGTGGATTATGCTGACCTTGTGACCCACAAGTGACCATCATAGTTTCCATACTGTAACTTTTAATACATTCCACATAACTTCACAGAATTTGGCAAGTTTTCAATAAACATTACAAGTCTTTTGTACATAAAATATCAGATTTTTTAATTAAGTATTTTTACTAACAATTTTCCATGATTATATGGAGTCAGAGTGTTGACTGCTCCAAGTGTAAATATTTTTCATGTTGAGATTAAAAATAGTTTTCATCATCTGATTTTGTCAAATTTCATTTGTACATAACATCTATAACCTCCTAAATAAATATCATATGTTTTCTCCGGTAAAACTTTATATTTTATCTGCTATTTTCTCTACTCTAACTCTATGTGCATTGGGTCAATTTTTACCAACTTCATAACCATCATAAAAAAAATATGAAATAAATGTAAATTACCCCTTAGAATGAGTAATTTACATCAATTTTTGTACTTCTCAGAGGGATAGTAAATAAATTAAAGAGGGAAGATATAGAGAGCAAATTTCACAATTCTCATACTAAGAGATATTGAGGATTTCTAAAAATATTCCCTTATAAAATAAAGAAATTAAAAGTTATACAATATAAAAACTTGGTTTATTACCCACATTTTTATGCCAAATTTATTTGCATACAATGATAATAAAGTGGTTGAGTTAAATTTTAAATACCGTTCTTTAAAAAGTCATGACATGTACACTTTGACATAACCATAAGGAGATGGTTAACAACTAAGATGGCATAAACTTTGACTTTCTTTGAAGTAAATGTGTATGTATGTATTTTATAGCACATCGGCTATCTGCTGTGTCCACTGAGGGGAATTAAACCCCTGATTTTAGAGTTGTAAATCTGTAGACTTACAGCTGTCCTACAGGGGAACCTTTGAAGTAAGAAATATAAAAATATGCTATATTTCACTGGGTTGACCTGGCATTTTCAGGTGGTTAACAAACATTGATTTTGAAATAGAACAATCATGAGTTTAAGTTTAGACCAACACTACAACACAATTAATACATGATGCTACAAACATTATGACACCCACACTATCAAAATTTAACAATAAGATAAAAAATAAATTAATATGTTAACAAAAATGTGCAAGAAAATTCACAAAACATATCTTAATTTAATACAAAGTATGTTTTACAATTCACATTTATTTGCATTGTTACACTAAGACTATTAAATGAAAAGTATTAAGTACAAAATTCAACTTAGATGACAACATCACAGATTGCTGATTAAACCAACTGAAAAAGCCATGAGTAGTTTTTTTTCTAATGTTGATTGTTTGCATTAGACCTGTATAAAATAACAGTAATACTTTCATAATGTAAGATTAGGACTGATTTATTCATCTAAGTTGTTAATTCAAAGGATGATAGTTTCTTTTCTTAGCAAATATAACCCTACACTCTGGAATGGGCAGAAAAATGTTTTACAAATATAGATATGCATTGCTTACATGTGAGGCTCATTGGAGCAGTAGGAAATTAATTTTGCAACTTTTATTATTATTGTTTCTCCTTTGATAATTACATGAAATAAGTGTTACAAAATGACAAACAATAAATTCTAAAATATTTCTGAAGTAAAAATAGTTGAAACAAATTTAATATTATTATTTGAGATACAGGTATGTTCCTCATATCTGAAAGAATCCTGAGGTCTGGATAAGATTAAATCTTTCAACCTTCCAATTTAAATTCTACCTAAAATATACGACACATTTCTGTAAAATTGGTAATTTAACATTTTTATAAACTAATTCATAAGGTGGGTATATTATCATGTACCACTCTTAAGGCAGACCTAGACAAATAATTTCAGATCTCGGAGCTAGGTGTGCCTGACCTAACTTCACTACTGTCTGTACCAGGAAATGGGGGCTATGTATGTTTATTTACTTTCACAGGAAAGAGTGCATGCTATCAATCACATGATATCAACAAACACATGATAGTATTGCCTGAACTAACTGCCTTTGGTCCTGTCTGAGTCTAAACATGCACACAAATTAGTTGAATTGAGAGAAAGAAGAAAAACAAAATGGCACAAAATTAGTAATGTGTTGTGCAACCACAGTGCTTCATTCCTGAAGTGAAACATGAAGTGCTGAATCCACCATTAAAATCCTAGAAACAAAGTTCAATTTAGGACTCAAAGAAGAAGAAAATAATTCCAGACTTCCAAGAGACCAGAATTGTTATAGATTCGAGTTCTGTTTAGCACAGTCCTATGCATGAATAAAATGGGAGAAAATACTAGGCACAACGATGAAATTTTTAGTCGCCATGGTGACCTGGCACTCTATATTTGTTAAGGCCTACTTAAGGATAATCAGTAATCACCAATTCAGAATATATATTATAGTGAATGACTGGTTAACACAAAAGACAATCAGTGACAAAATATGGCTATATTTCTGTAACTGTTGAAAACTCAGAGAAGACAACAGATTGTTGAAAAATTTGTTCTTAAAATTGTACTTTATTTCTATTAAAATCTATTTGAAAATAAAAAATTTCCACAAATATGTCTAAACTTACCTCTTCTTCAGTGATAATATTTTCATTTTGTTCAAATACAATACAATCAGATGAGTCAGATCGTGGGCTGTTTCATAATGATAATTACAAATTAATAAAGCAAAGTAAGTAAATCTGTAATACACAAAGCTGTTCAAAAGTAGAACATAAAGTGTTGTTTCAATGGTATTTTAGGCATTGTAAATACAGTAAAGGTTTGGTTTTAAGGGAATGCTCCTGAAGGCCTCAGTATAGAGGCTGAAATATTGTCCCACTCTTAGAAATAGGTAGAAACCATAATTTTACAAGATCATATATTATTCCTTAAATCTTATCACAACTAAATATTGTATATGTATATGAATGATTTGTCAGCTGTTTTATTTAAACTAATAGCAGGGAAAATACAATGTTGTCAAAAACAGACTCTTTTAGTAAACATGGTAACTTTTTAAAAATTTGTTATTAACTCACATTTTAACCATGAAATTACTCTAAGGTGCAATTTTATATATTAATAACCACTAATTACAAACATTTGAATGTTTTGAAAGTCCACACCTTTAGGTAGACACTATATATGCAATACAAAGCTAAAAAGTTTTGAAAGCATACTATTTATCTACTTTTATTACCACAACCTAAGTTCAAATATTGTTACTACATCAAACCAACTACATTAAGACATTCTATCAAATGGCAGAAAACAACAAGAAAGAGAAAATATTGTTTAAAATAACATGTTGCACATGTTTTAATCAGTTCAATCAAGTTAATGACCCCAAATTAACCTTTAGGTTCCATACTATAACTTTTAATATGTTTTCTGTATCTTCACAAACTTTTGCAAACTCTCAGTAAACATTACAAGTCTTTTGTAGACAAAAAAAGTCAGTATTTTTCGTGTGTAACTTTTATTAAAAATATATATAGTCAAAGTGTTGACTATTCCAAGTGCAAAGTGATTTTCATGTTAAGATTAAAAATACTTTTCTTCACCTGAAAATTGTCAAATTTCATTTACATAATTTCTAAAACCTCGAAAATAAATTAAAAACTTTTTGTTTTATCTGTTATTTTCTCCATCCTAACTCTACACATACTTGTTCAATTTGATAGACCTCATAATCACCATGAAATAAATAAATATATGAAATAAATCTAAATTATTATTATTTTTAAAAGAATGACAGCAAACCGTAATAGAAAACTATAGTTGTTTATCCTTAAAGTATATATCTGTTTCTACTTAAAAATTATTGTTTATTGTCCTTTTCACCATGTCTAACTAATAATCACACCACACATGTAACTCACTTGACAAACACATAGCTCATGTTACCTCATTGAATTATGCAAAGAATGAGTTTCTCACAAGCATACCTCATAAATAAATTTTATTATTTTTATTTATCTTACCTAATAAGTTTCACATTTTTAGATTTTAGTTATTTTTATAACAAATAAAGAATAAACCTGAAAAACAAGAAATACTGTACTTACCTGGGTCTTATTTTTTTGGCTGTCAGCTGTTGATGAAACTTAAGCCTATTTTTTAGACTAATGGCACTACTACTACACTAAATACTTTTTTATTTCATTTAATAATGCACCTAAGAAGACAGAATAATAACACATAAAAATCTGACAATGTCCTATAACTATCATAATATTTCTCATTATGCAATAAGAGCTGTTAAAAATTCAGCTAAGCTTGTCAATGTATTTTCTGTGAGAATAAAGTTTGAACTGGAAGCTAGGTAATTAATTAGTTTGTAATTGAGCACAAAGCTACACAATGGGCTATCTGTGATCTGCCCACCATGGGTATCGAAACCCAGTTTCTAGCATTGTAAGTCTACAGACATACCACTGTGCCACATGGGGCAACTGGAAGTGAAATAAACAATTCTTTGTACAGAAAACAACATAATATGATACATCATTTAACAGATTAAATCTTTGTCTTACAAATACTACAGTATTAAATGTTATAGAAAACTACTGGCCTTATTTAAAAGACGATGTGGCAAGTGGGTCTAATTTTCAAGTTTATGGCTCAGTAATAAAATATGATTGAAGGCTATAAAAATTATGCTTTGCCTTAATAATAACTATATTATAATGAGTAATTTACATTAAATTCTGTACTTCTTGGAGTAGTGGTAAATAAATTATAAAAGAAGGAAGACCAATAGAGCAAATGTCACAATTTCGTACAAGGAGAAATTGAGAATTTTTATAAATATTTCTTTATAAAATTAACAACTTAAAACTTATATAATATTAAAACCTAATTTATTAACTATATTTTTATGCCAAGTTTATATGTACATAAGGATAATAAAATAGTTTAATTAAATCTTAAATTCAACTCTATAAAACTTTGTGCACTTTGACCTAAGTATATATATTGGAGAGGGTCAAGAAATTAGATGCCATAAACTTCAAGTTTCTTTGATGCCAATTTTATTTGTATACCATGATAATAAAGTATTTTAGTTCAATTTTGATTATAATTAAAATATCATGACGTGCACTTTGACCTACCCGTGGCATGAGGGTTAAAAAAAACATCCACTTTTCAATAATTTTTCTAACTTAATTTTGCAAAATATTAGTCTTAGTAATTTATTAGTGGTTCATTATAAAGTAATTCATTAAACAATGCTTACAGAAAAGAGGTGCCAAAAACATCTTCTTCTTCATCATCATCAGAGCTTTCATCATCTTTTATTTGTTGCTTAGAGCTGTGACAACTGTAAGAGATGCTGCTCCACTCTATAGAGCCATCAACCTGTACAGAACATGAACATAGTAAATAACAGACATTAGTACCCCCGAAAACACAGTTACCCTACAGGACATAAAAAAAATCAACCAAGAATCATTTTTATGTGTACTGACAGAAGTTCTTACAATTTACAAAACCAACTTACAAGTATGAATCTTGGGAAAACAAAAAAGAATTGTAAAAGTAAGTACTACAACACAATAAGCAAAAGAAGCAGAAGAACTAATAAAATTATGTTCTATATACAAGATATATATGAAATCATAAAGGTATGCAATCAAGAATTTCAGACATGCTAACTAAAATATTACAAGTTTCTACATATATATAATAATGATTTGAGAGGAGAGAGTAGATAGAATGTTTTTTAAAACTTCATACCATTTACACTCCTAAACAACATAAGATATTGGATTGAAAAAGATTAATGGAAGCTTTATTATAACCATGCAGTATAAGCTTTAAAAATGAATATAATTTCATTTAATGTGGTATTTTTAATCTGCATATGAAAAAAAAAGAAACTAAAAGTTTACTTTACGTTCCAGGTTTAACAAGTCAATTATATAAAGTATTCAAAAAGTATCAGAATTTTTACCCTATCTTCAAACCAATAAATAAGATAAAAGATATGATGGGGAATGCTAACGACAGAATAGAATTAACAGATAAGACAGGTATATACAAGATAGAATGTGAATGTGGTAGTGTTTATATTGGTCAAACTAAAATTAATTTAAAATATAGATTGCAAGAACACAAAAGTTACATAAGAAATAATAAACTAGAAATGTCAGCTATAGCCGGACATGTAAAAACTACCCAACATACAATATTATTGAAAAAACTTTAGTTTTTGCTCAGCCTCGAAGTTTTAAATCATTAAATATTAGAGAAACACTAGAAATAATGAAATATAAAAAACAAAACCTAGTATTAAATAGAAAAGAAAGACCAGCAATTCAATATGTTGATATATGGCGAGATATACTATAATTTTCTATTATTTTTTTATTATTATTATTATTAATGGAAATATGTAAATAACAATGAAGTAATGCGACAACGGGGGAAAGTATAAAATAGTCTTGTAAGTTACTCCTGAGGATGACGTAGACCACATCGAAACATGTACTTGTAGAGATATTTTAAAGTGGAAGCCGTACGGCTTCAATAAAGTTTTTATTGTGTAAATATAAAACGTTGTTTTTAATTAATTATTTATTATAATTTTAGCAAACAATTTTAAACACAAGTGCCGGTAGTGGATATTTAGAGAATTTTTGTTGTCCAGTGATAAGTTTGGTTATCTCAGGCAACCAGAAACCCTAATTTCGAACACTGATAAACATATTTAATCATCTGGCCAAGTTAAAAGCAGCAGTCCTTATTATAGGTTACTTTTGCTGTGGAGTTTTATAAAAAAACTTTAAATCTTAATTAAAAATTCAATGTTATGGTGTATTGTTTGTATCTTTATAAACCTAGGCTATTACTTTTCTTTCCTACAGATTCTAATGTTCTCTCTGCTATGAATGGACAATGTGGGAAAACGTCTTGAACAACACAATAGATATTTACTGAGTCACTAATAGTACTACTTACTCCGTTAACTTACAAGTGTGTTCAAGCTTCTTCTCGTCAAATCAAAATTCATGGCAGGAATTTAGGTTTAAAATTCTTCAAGCCTCAAAGAAAATTTGGGGTCTGAAAGACAACCTGGGATGGTCAGAAACTTTTGTTCCTCTTCACTCCAAGCAATGAAAAAGTTAAAACCAAACAAATTTGAATGAAGCCTCTGGGCATAAGTTTATTGAAACACATTTAGTGAGATGTGGAAGATGCCAACCCAAGCCCGCTATGGAAGCCGTGAAGAGACCATTGTTCAGTAGCCAGAGTCAAAGCATGTGTATCTGTTGTTACATGTGATGATAAAATCAGGCAGAGTGAGCAGTCTGGTGGAGAAGGGTTAACCAGACTGAGTACACAAGTTGCTGTTTGAATAGTTGCCAAAAAGGTGTTATGTGATTGAAAGAAAATTATACAAAATTAAAATTATAATAAGTTGTAACTGAGTCTGGTGGACTTAAAGAGTAACATCCCTTTTTAGGGGGTCTGGGATAAAATTATCCAATGCCCTAAAAGAATTTGATACAGGGGAAAACTGGAGTGTCTGGAGAAACCCTCCTTTCATGAGCCAGGCACCAAATAATCTGCCTGAGATGTGCAGCTGAAAAGGAAAAGATTTGTTGGTATATATATCTTTTAACACTCTAATATTGATAATGTGAGTTGGCTTATGGTTTTATGTGGTTTAGGGGCAATATATAGGTTTGCCATGTGGCAGGTGTAGCTGATAGTGTTTGGAAGGTCTTGGTCTGACTATTACATGAGCATGATTTGTTGTAGTATTTTTTGGCTAATTTGTGAATTTGATCTTTGATAATTGGTAAATTTGTGAGATTACTTGCTTCTTCTAGTATCATTGGGGTTACATATCAAACTTTTCAAGTAAACAAACCTTTGCTGGTGGTGCCAGCTTTTCAATATCATCATAGACTTCCAATGATCCCGTGCCCAGTTTTTCAGATTGAGATGATATGTCTTCTGACAAAGTACCTACTGTGTTAGGTGTACTTGAGCTAGTTTCTGATTGTTTCTTAGGAACTTCTGTTGTTACTTCAATCCAGGAATTGTAATATCTGTAGAAATAAAAATATTACATACGCATGAAAAAGTAAGCTAATACACCTTAAATCATACATTATCATTAAATATAATGAATTTTGATATTTTATTTATTCAAATAAAAACCAACAAAATTAATAGTTATAAATACATTATTATATTTCATTGTGCACTGTGATGTAGCTGTTAAACTAAATTAACTTCATAACCCTTTAAAAATATCTTTCACAAACAAACATTCCATGAAACTAGAAATTTTGTTGTTGTTGCAAGAGAAAGACTCAAAAGACTATGCATGGAAGAGTGTTGGGAAAATGTTAAACAGGTTCATTAAAATAACAACAGGATAGAACAAGGACTCAAACAAAGACTACACTTATGAGTAGATTTGCCAAAATTACCAAACTGATTCATAAAATGCACTGCATAAAAAAAAGACTGCAAGATGTGGAAAAGTACTGAGAGAAATACTTGAAGAATTAAAACATTTATCTAAAATGAAAACTTGTTTAATTTGCTATGTTTTGGGCATATGCTTAGTTACTAAGAATAAACAATATCACTTTCACACTGATTCATACAGATACTAAAAAGACTACTTATAAAATCCTGTAAAGAAATCACCATTTAAAACAACTAAATAACCTATAGCTGATACTGTTGATTTTGAATAAATTTTAATACTTTTGTAATATTATGCTCTTAAACCTGAAATACTCAACCTTACTAGAAATGTTGTAAAATGAAAAAATTGTTGCTTCTGTTTATGATATATTTACACTCAATGATGCAACATAAGGCATAGGAAGTTGGAATGTAACAAACTGAATACTTAACATATGGTAGGTCTTCCTCTAATCTTAACTATACGCTAACATAAATCAGGAATGAATGCCACCAGGTTTCTGAGAATACCAACCATTATTTCCTTCGGTTTTTGCTTTACAATCTATCATAATTATGGAAGATTAGCTGTCTTCTCTTTTGCAACATTACTTGTAAAATGATGCTACAGCTTTTCAACTGAATTTGAATAGAAATTGTGGAATTTTTTCTCCAAACAAAATTAATTCAGTAGCGTAATATGTCTTGGATAATTATCCTGTTAAAATTCCTAGCCTCAGCTAATTAAAGATCATTCAATTGGCATTGTGTGTTGAAGTAATATGTTGTAATACTGCAGCCTCCTGTGGCACAATTAACCCTACACCATTATAGACCTATCAAGTTTTTCTTAAACACTCATTATATTTGTCATAGTGACATCTTTATACAAAACAACTCGTAGTTCTTAAATAGCTCAATCCTTCTTAGGTGAGCTCATAGCACATCTTCCCATTTGTTCTTCTACTTTCTACGATTCCTTTTGTAAAAAATAAAGGTTTAAGCATTTCCACATGTGAAAAATGAAGATATTTTGACTACAGCTTTTATAAGTAGATTATTTTCTCACAATTTATTTCTAAGAATTCTGTTGAAGATTTTAGTTATTGTTTCTTCATTTATTTTTATGCATATTTTGAACTGATTCAACATTGATATTTCAATGTTTTCCTTGCGTTCATGTTTCATCATGTAAAGTATTATTCTGTGCTTCTTTCTCATTATGTAATCTTATTTTTCTTACTTTTCTCATATTGAAACTTGAAAAGTTTTTCAAACATGCTAGCAAACTACTGGTCATCTTGTGCAATTAATTCAACAGAAATAATAATGTTGATGATTTAAAACAAGTACGAAAATTAAATTATTATGATTCACCATTGAATCAAACTATTATTTATATATTTCATATATAATTAACTTTTTTTTTCATCCAAACCCATGTGAAGTTATACCTTATTTCTGAAACTTCATTCTGGTTTGTGGAATAAGGATAGTTGTCTGTGTTCTTGGTTCTGGCATTGATATCCCAGGGATGGATCTAATACAGAAAGATCATCAGATGCTGACCAGTTTGGATCCTGCATGTGTGGATATTGTTGAAGAGGTTTTTCAGCTTCCAAACATACAGTGTGGCGTACATGCAGTTTAATGAATTGTTGTTATCAGTCACAGTGACAGAACTGATGGTGAAACAATTTTCTTTTCACAAACCAGGCAGCTCAAATATTTATCTAAACGTCAATGTTGTGCAGGTATCGAAACCCGGTTTCTAGCGGTATAAGTCCTAAGATATACCACTGTGTCACTTGGGGGCACTACATTTGGTTATCCTAAACAGCTTTCAACTCATAACAGCATACATCTTTTATATTTAAATTTTATTGGCTTTTGAACCATATCCAACTAATTTGTAAATCCCTTGGAGAATGTGTAGCACATGTTACATTATTGAATTACATAATGCAAGAGCTACTCACAAGCATACCTCAAGAATTTTTTAATTCTATCTAATTTAACCTAAGAAGTTTCCAATTTATACATTTTACTTACTTTTATAATAATAAATAAAAAATACACATGAAAAACAAAAAATAAAGTACTTACCAAGGTCTTCTTTTTTTTATGTCAACAATTGATGACACTTAACCCTACTTTTTATACTGCACTAAATAATTTTTTAATTAATTATGTAATGCACCAAAAACACTCACACACAGATTAATAACATGCAAAAAGCAGTAATGTCCCATAACTGTCACAATTTTCCTGGTTTTCTGTGTGAAAAGAGCAATTAGAAATTCAGCTAAGCTCGTCGATGTGTTTCCCGTGGGAATAAAGTTTGAACTGGAAATGAAAAAGACAGTTCTTTGTACAGAAAATAATGGATATCATTGGATAGGTTAAAACTTTGGTTTTATATTGGTTATAGATGATACAATATTAAACATCAGAGAGAACGTTTGGTAATCAGTGAAAAAAAAAGGATATGACAGGTGGGTGTGGCAAGAAGGGTCTGATTTTCTAGTTTATGGCTCTGTAACTAAACAAGTTTGAAGGTTATAAAAATTGTGCTTTGCCTGAACAATGACAACATTATAATGAGTAATTTACATTAAATTTCACACATTTTTGTAGGGATGGTAAATAAACTAAAGAGGGAATGCCTAGAGAGAGAAAATGTCATATTTCTCAAACTAGGGAAAATTTAGGTTTTGTTTTTAATATTGCCTTATAAAATTATGAACTTAAACTTTATATAATATTAAGATTTGGATTATCAAATATGTTTTGATGCTTAGTTTGTTATATACCATGGTAATAAAGCATTTTAACAAAATTTTGAATGTAATTCACAAAAACCTCGTAACATGAGCAGAAAAAGATGGCAGTAGTGAAAGTGTTAAATGAATAACCCTTTGTTCATGTGCAAGTGTAATGGTTTTATATTTGTCATCTGAGATGATTAATGAACACTACAATTATGTTGAAATTTATATTCAAACACTTAATTTTAAAGGTATGGGCTTAGTAAAACCCTAATAAATGAAAGGTTGGTGCAGAGGTTTGTACAAGTTGGTATGATTTAACTTTTCCATGAATGGCATGGAGATGACCACTGACATAGGTAATCTAGGATTGTGGGATACTGCACTTGAAGTCCCTGGACTAATTAAAAATGTTTTGAGTCTTTGTCCTGAAAACACATGCTTTAATACCTAGCAGCCAATCAGTTTCTCACAACACAGACATCACTCAGTTATGATAGACCATAACACATTTAATTTATAATGAAGTGTTTTTGCTGTATTGTTCATATTTGTCCCTGCAAGCATAACCAGGATAACCAAGTTTTTGTGACAGTGAAATTTTACCACTTGGTTACAGTTTATTATGTGCAGCTTAAATGCATTCATACCTGCACCAGAAGTATAACTTTTAAACAAAGGTTGTCACAACCTTAATTTCCTTTTTTTTAGTGTTTTTGAAAAAAAAAGAACTTTACTGAGATGGAGAGCAACATTTTATACACGTGTATGATACAATCTACTTTATTACATTGGCAATACAAAAATATTCTTTATATAAGCACCTCTAAGAATGAAGGATTTCCTACACAAAGCTGGGCGAACATAACGTAAGGCAGAAACTATGATTTACTAAGCTATTATCCAACCTAATGATTATATTGTAATATATGTTACTTACTACTGTTTAACTTCTAATCTTGTGTGCTTAATATTGAAACTATAACAACAATTTCATTAGCCCACAGTCCTTACCTTACAACGTTTTCATGGTTGAGACGAGACAACAGTTTAACTTCTCTCATTATCTTCCTATTTAACTGTTTGTTTGAAGGTTTCAACAGAATTCGTTTTATAGCATAATTCATGCTATCCAACTTATTTCTGACCTATTCAGAGATCAACAAAACAACAGATATTAAAATAATACTGTTTAATTGAGAGACTGTAAAAACTTTAGTAAATATAGATTTTAGAAGGTAATCAGCTTTTATATGTAACTGTAATTAATTCAGAATGGTTTCATTTTTGTTAAATAAATTACAAATTTTTCCAAGTTCTAAGCTAAAAACACAGACTTCTCAACATAATAATATTTACTTTCAACACATCCCCAAACCCTCCACTGCCGAGCCATTTCAAAATTACAAATTCATCCTTCAAGCGTGAATGTCCTGTAGTTTCACTGGTTAGCATAGGAGGCAGTAATATTTCAGCTTCTTCCTCTTCTGAAACATAAAAGTATCAATATACGAAAAAAAATTATTTTTATCTACTTTCTTTCAAATTCTTCTTAAAACTAAACCTCATTTCAAGCTTTCTATGTTACCTCACGTTTATTTTTATTCTATTCTTTAAGTTTGTTTGTTTTTATTCACTAGTTCCTAAAATAAAAATACAGCTTATATTCAAAAATACAAAACCATATAACCCAATCACTTTGGAAAGGTGGACCTTTCTTCATTAGGAACTATACACATTTATGAATTATTCCATATTACAATTCTTAGGAACATCTAAGTAAGTGTAATTTTAAGTTATAATGATCATCTAACACAAATATAAAAAAAAACTTTCATAACCTTTTTTATAATGAACTTCTTCTGTTGTCTTCCAATTTTTGATGCTTAGAGACTTGCTAACAAAAGGCTTAAGGAATGGATGGTCTAAAAGTTGTTGTGCACTCCACCGTTCTCTTTCATCTGTCTGAAGGCATCTTTTTTTATATATATATACATAAAAGGATTGAATGAATAAAAAAAGTTTTGTATTCAAATTGATAATACAATTTAAAATAAAATATATTATTATACTTAACATATTATGAGTTGGTATGATTCTTTTTCAATAATAAGTGTACATGCAGAATACCTTAATATAGATTTATGAATTTTTTGTTGTTAAACTCAAAGCTGTATTAAAGGTATTCAGACCATATTTTTTTATAGGTTATAAATCAACCATGGCCATATGTGTTGCATTACAAGTCAACAGCACCCACTGCCAACCATTGAGCAACTGTAACTGAAAAGTGGGATTTGACTCTCACTGTAATAAATAATATCGTCCCAAAGTGAAGACTGCACTTTTTGTGTCATGAGACAAATTATGGGCCTTCAGATTCACAATCTGGCATGCTAAATACTGGGCTATGTCCAACCCTGTAACTGTTGAAATAGATCTGGCATTATCAAACTAATTCAAGCAATTAGGAGCTGCAAAGAAAAACAATTTTACTTATGCATTCATATATGTCACTGTAAGTTTATTAATATTATCTTTACTGTTATGTTTGTCTTAGCTCAGCACATTTTTTGTGACTATAGCCCATGGGAGAGCAGGAAGCAGTATGTTCAATTTTCATCCCTACACAGTAGAAACAATTTTTTTTCTTTCTGGAATGCACAGAAAGAACACATTAGCAAAATCACCTGCAAGAAATCTAAAAATTATCTAGTGTTGTATTGGTTTCTATCATTATGCAGGTTCTTTTTGATTAGTCAGTAAAAATAATGCAAAGTCCAGTCCACTGTCCTCATAATGATAATGAAAGTGATTTATTGCTTTAGCTTTAACATACAAGTTCTACATGTTACAGTCAATAATAGACCTCACTCACAAATAAAACTAGCTAAGAGTCATTTTCTTGACAAAATTTCCTTGTATTTATAAAATAATTAAATACTGATTAACTAATATACTCAGTAACAGACTCATTAATTAACTAATTGACTAAATTAGTTTTCTCTAATTCATTCATTTGCTGTGGTGTTTTTATGAATATCTGTCTTCCCAATACCACCTGAAGATTTGAGACATCAAACCAGAACCAGACATTAAGACTTCTACATGTTCATGCTGGAAATGCCCACAAGCAACAAAACTTCGAAATAGTGATATTAGAAACTTAAGCTAATCACCAGAATGTAGAAAAGGATATCTGTGATGATATAACATAATTGTTGTCCAAGCAGATACAAACGTATTTTGCCTGTTGCTAGAAATGTCAAGTATTACATGATCGTGCTCATCTGTATTCCAGAATAAACGACACAGAACAGATGAAAGTGGTCATACCTTTGTGACTGAAGATTGTGAAGTCATTATCAATATACATTTACTTGAATTTTATGCTGTTGAAAGGCATATAATGCCAGCATGACCAAAGTTCTTCTAAGGAAATTGAAGACAAGTTGCTGTCTATGGAAGACTTGAGAGATCAAGAATATGATGAAGGGGTTAATATAAAAGGCACGAACAATGGTCTTACAAAAAAAAAAAAGAAAAAAAAAGACTTATTTAAAATCCAAAAGATTTTTCTTGCACCATGCAATGAACACTCTCCAAGTCTGTGTTTAGCAAGGCAGCCAACAGATAAATCATTGCAGTGATATATTATAGACTTGATTCAAAACATATAAGTGTACTTTTCTGCTTCAACTTGTTGTTGGGGAATTATTGCAATATGATGTTTCACAGTTAAATGTGAAGCTATTAGGTGATATACTGCTAAAATAATAATTTTTCAAGTCTTGTGATGTGGCATGACATGATTTATGAAATCAACTTTACCACCAATCAGCTACAAAAAAAACAAATATTTTCTTGCCAGTAAAGGACTGGGAAAGGATTTGCAAAGGTTATTGGATGCAAAGAAACTGGCAGAAGAGACATAAGTCATTAAAATTATTTTCACAAGAACAGCATGTTCTTCATGAAAGACATTTTTTCATTCACAACTTATACTTAATCCACAGTAAAACTAAAGTTTATTTCTTTACCAAACTGTAAACACAGCCATTGAATCTATGAAAGAGAGGTTTCCATAGTTACAAGAGCCTTCTGAAACACAATTAGTTTATCGCTTCCAAACACTTTTGTCATACAAAGAATTCCGTTGATTTTTGCTATCGACACTGTAAGTGGAGAACAAATCTTTCTAAATATTAAGTTTATTAAAACCTCTCTGAAATCATTCATGATAGAAATAAATGTTTGGACTTACAACAATTTCAACTGAGCATGAAATTTCAATATGCTTTTGTTGCTTTAAGCCAGCAACGTATAATTTTACATTAGTGAAAGCAAGAAAAGTGATATTTCTAGAAATGAAAAAAAGTTTAATTTTTACAATAGCTACATGTTGACTGTTACTATAGCATTTACCTAAGCCTTATAGTCCTATGTTTTTGTTGCACAAGCAAAAGAAAAAATTTCACTGCATTGCAAAAAAAACAAAACATACTGGATGATGGTTTGAAACTTGAAATAATCTTTCTAAAGGTTATGCAGCATTGGGAAAATAAATTTTCATATTTTTATATGTGATATTTGCATGAATTCACAATTATTTAAAATTTGAAAAGATTTCATTGTAATATGTTTTTTGGGGAGGAACAATTAAAAATGCTTTACCTTCTTTTACACTTCAATTACCGATTTTAATGTTTTCCTACGTTCTTGTAGAATTTCCAATAAAATCGTTATTCTATCTGTTTTGATTTTAAAAACAATGTATGCATTCTCACTCTGTTTGTGATCACTGGCATACAATAAAAATAATTTTTACTACACCAAAATGAAAAGAAACTCAACTTTTTTTCAATTGTTAATCAGAATGTTTTATTCAATATACATTTACTAAGTTTTAAAACATATTTTATATTAATTGAAATATTTCTTTACATTTCTTTTTGGTGATTTTCTTTGCCCATTCAAGCAGTTATTTACACTGCTGAAGAAGAATGAAAACATGACCTTAAAAACCAGTGACCTTGTCAGCAAAACGAAACTTGATGCTGTTGGGTAAAATATTATCTGCAGTATGTCATTGTTCTATGAATAACATTTTTTCTACCATACTTGAAGTGTAAAATAATAAAACAAACTCCTGCAAAACTTGAAAAACAAAACAAAAAAACAGGACTGAAAATGTGGCAAATTCTAGTAATTTCTTGTCCAAATTAGGATATAATTTTTAAAAATATTTAAAAACTTATACATATTTACATCATGTGTATGCTGCAGTGAATTTTCTTGCACAGAAGTTTTAGCAATACCATAATACATGCACAAACTACAGCCAAATAGTATAAAGTAAAAGATAATGATTTTTCAACATAAATTATTTTATTCTTCCATGTTAAAATTTTAAATGCTTACTGTAGATATTAAAAGTGATGTGAAAAACAATACAAATTGGCAAATGATTTATGATGTACAGTCAACTGAAAAAATTAAACTATATAATTTGTATTATTACTTTTACTACTATTACATTTTAGCATAATATGAATTATTACAATTCAAAATTATAGTACTTAGACAATCAATTACTGGTACAGCAATGGAAAGCTAGTGATATGCAGAAGTAATGGTTGTAACATTGCAAGTAGAAAAACATTTACTACAAGACATTTTGAACAAATTGTGCAATTAGCACAAAATAAAATTGATGGCATGTGTGTTTGCAGGGTATTCTTCTTCTTTCTCTAATCAAAGGAGAATTAGTCACTGACATTCATCCTATCATACCTCAGTCATTACATACAACTCTACATGATTTTCTCAGGAAGTAAGAATGTTTTTCCTTATTTTTTATGTTAAGTTTTTGTAAGCTTTAAAGGTAATTTGTTGATATTTCTATATTTTAATCTACTTTGAAACTATCAAATGCAGTAATATTTGCATAAAAATAGAGCTTGCTCAGCTTACAAGTTATTTTCAATGTTTTAAAGGTTATTGTCAATTTTTTTCAAATTTGAAAAACAAAGAGCTAAAAGGATTTCGAAATTTGAACAGTTTTTCATCTACAGTGTATGCATTATGTTTATCTAAAAATTTCTAATTTGTAAAGTCATCAAATGTAGTTTATACATTTACTTCTCCCTGCTGCCATAAAGACTTATATTGGTTCCACTAAAATAAAATTGTTAATCCTTGTGAAAGAACATGCAGATTTGAGAACTCTGACTAAGGGAACATGACATTGTTAAACATTCAAATCAATTAATGAACTTAGCAAGAGCAAATTGTAAGTAAATCCTTTGCATAAAAGACAACTTGCTCTTCCATAGACTAAGAACTCAAATTAAACAAATAGATTCAGCTTATAAGTTACTTTTAACACTTTTGTAGACCAGACATGCCACTCTTCTTTATGAGATGACTACAACAGAAACATAATACATAAAATAGTTTTTTTAAAAGTTAGAAATACCAAAAAACTTTTACAGTAACAAAAAACCACTGGTTCAAATTAACTTTTTCAAAAAAAGAAAAAGAACTTTCTATCATTTCAAAACTCAGCTAAAGTCCTATTAAAACAACTTTTCACTTAGTAAGCTCACTGAAGATACCTTTCCATGAACTCATCTTCATAATCAAACAGACAAGTATCAATTGACGTTAAATTGGTTGCTTGTTAATCATTAACTTGTATTACCAGAGACAAACTCATAGACTTTTGTAAGTTTTGCATCTTGACCATACTTGTTTCATAGTATACATTAGATAAACATTTTCATTCATCTAACTCACAACAACTGTCACATTCAATCAGCTGATAAACTTTACTGGATACAAAACTCTTCTAAACCTAGACAAGTTTCAGATGTTGAGTTTATTTTTGTGTATGTCAGGTGAGGACCAACAAACTACTCTTATTCTGGGCTTCCTAAACAATGTATTAAACAAAATAGTATTAAATTTGTTCAA